ATAATATCTATATATTATTATTATATTAATATTATTTAATAGATATTATTTATTAGAAATTATTTAATAGATATATATATATCTATTAAAGACAAAATTTAACAGAGTGGACGGGCGACTAAATAAAGAATTCTAATAACACAACAATAACAACCAACCTTGGCGCGCGTTTGAAGACCAACATGAGAAATCTGGTAGCTTCTTGACTTAGCTCTTTGTACAAGTACTCGAATCTATATCTGACGAAGGATATGTTCTGTCTGGTTTCGTCCGCGTCCTTTCCGCGGAACGGAGAGACTCCGGACAGGAGAACGTAGGTCAGTACACCGACCATCCAGATGTCCGTCTGCGGATAAACCGGCTCTTCGTTGTACAACTCGGGCGATCTGTATTCGGGATGGCCCAGATCCTTGGGCACACTGGCGCCCAGTCTGCTGACCTTGTGAGCGGAACCCAGATCGACTAGCTTCACCTGCACCGACCTCACCGACGACATCACCACGTTGTCCGGCTGGATGTCCAGGTGAGAGTAGCCGCGCCAGTGCAGATACTGTATACCGTCGAGAATCTGCGTGATCGCGTTCGCCACGCAATTCTCCGTGTATTCGTGCCGGCTGGCAAAGTACGTGAGTATATCGGCGCCCTGGAGCTTCTCCAGAATGAATACCGCGACCGGCACGCCGGTTGCTTTGTACGCCGCTTCCAGCATGGCTATCCGCTCGTGCCGTAGCGATCGTAGCGCCTCGAACTCGCGATTCACCTGCTTCTCCAATTCGGCGTTCATCTCCAGAATCTTGGCGACGATCACACGATCGGTGCTCTTGTCCACGCCCTTTACCACCGCGGAGAATTCGCCGCGGGCTAGTTCGGATATGAAGCTGTACTTGGCGGACAGTTGCGGCTCCGTCGACCACTCAACGGGATGTTCTTCAACGGAGTAATCGATGTGCGGCTTGTCCTCCTCAAGAACGATTTCCTGACCGGCCTCGGTCAGTTCCTGGAGATGCCTCATCGCCCGCGTGATCTGCACCTTCGGGCAACCGGGCAGTCGCGTCTTGATGAGCTTCGACGGGATGCCCTTCTCGCTCCAACCGATGCGATTCCGCGCCGCCAGACGGAAGTTGTAGCTCGTGTCTTGCTTCAAATTGCGCACCAGATAGAACTCGTGATCGATGTTGGAACCGACGTCGATCCAGTCGATCGAGTCGCCTTCCTTATACTGCAGGTTGTAACACAAAACAGGCGAGTTTCCGTCGTACTTCGGCTGCTTCCAGCGAAGAAGAACTTCCGTGTCCGCAACGTCCGACGCCTGGAAGATAATTTTTACAGTTCTATGTATGCTTAATGAAAAAGATGATAAAACGTATTAAAAAATTCGTATCTGATTATGATTTTTAGATTCGTAATTATATAATTAATTTTTTTAAATTCTAATTAATTTCTCTATTTTATACAAATTGCTTGTTTATTGCGTGATAAAACAATTACAACAGTGTTTTCACGCTTTGATCGATCTTTTATTTCTTTCTGGTTTTTCAAACGTTGCTTGATTATTACCTCCGGAGAATCCGGACCGAAAGGAACGGTCGCTTGCAACACTCTCGTTCTAACCGCCGTCTGTCCAATAGGATTTCTCGCCACGACTTTGTATATTCCGATATCGTGTTCCTTCGCGGGGTTCAGGCTGAGAATGGATCTTCCTTCGTCGTCCTCCGTCACTTTGATCCTGTTGTTCTCCTGTATGATTATGTCGTTCTTGAACCACTGTATCAGTGGCTTCGGATTCCCGACGGCCAAACAGGCAAGTTGCGCCGGTTTGCCCTCCTCGATCGGACAGATTTGCGGCTTCTCGCGGAAGAACGGAGGCTGACCCTCTTTCTTCGACTCGATCATCGCCTCGGCTTCGGCGTAACTGTCCAATCGCGTTCCAAGCTCGTTTCTCAAACGTCTGAGCGTGTACGTGTCCGCCGATCCGTATCGGTTGATGCGCGCCCTTCTCTCGTCGTCGATCTCCTCGTCCATCACGTCCGTGAATCGTCGCCGTTCTCGTATAATCGGTGACTAACAAAATAAAATAAAATAATAAAAATTTTGTTGCAATACAGAAATTAAAATGTATTTTTTTTTACATGACTGATAATGTCGTCATTTTAGATGTGAGAGTTTTTTGTGAATAAGGGTATGTCACACACATTATCATTTATTTATACTTGTATTGTAAATTCTTATGTTAAACTAATTTTAATTTTTCGTTACCGAATATGTTATTTTTAATGCACAGAACACTGATGAAGACTTAAGACAAAAGTCGAAACGTCTGTATTATTTTGAAATTCAATACATCCGCATAACACCTAGCAACTAGTTCAGTAACGTCTCATCATTCCGTACTCTTTGTGTATTTTTTTTTTTTTATATTAAAAAAGCTTGTGTGTGTTACACATTGTTTTACACCTACCCTCCAGTCAAAACCGCTGTCTTCGTTAATAGAGCGCGAAAATCCTGGGCTGCGGTTGCACGCAACTTTCATGTATTCGCGCAGTCGAACCGGAAAATCGGTATCTCGAAGTTGCAGAAGATATGTGTCCGGACCATTTTGATAACTAAAAAAAATATATAACGAGCATAAAAAAAAAAAAAAACAATTTGTTTCTTTCTGCGTATTGCGGAGAAACTTAATAGAAAAAGTTATACAAAAAACTTTCAGGAAAAATAACGTATGTATTACCTCTACGCATTTTTTAACGAAGTAATAAATATATGTACACATACATGTGTACATATTTCCAAATTATGTAAACATATTTATATATAAAAATGTCTCTGTTCTCACTGGCTTTCGCTCTGTATAATTCCGATTTCCGTGTCGATCGGTTCTCTGGACGGTATCTGATTCTCCCACGTTCTGGGCGAACGTTTCTTCAACGGGCTATGCGATCTGTCTTGACTGGGTTCGGGCGTGAACCTGTGTCCAGGTGGATAAACCATTCGCGACGGGTTTTCAAACGCCGTTTCCAGCTTGCGTCTGCGGTACCAAGTGCGGCACGAAGCGTTGCTATACCAGTCGCTGCAAAACAAAAAAAATACATCAACATTATAAATTACCTACAAGATCGTTCCGTCACATTACCTGGGAAAAAATGGATTAGAATCTAACTTAAATTTAACGAGATGAAAAAAATGGAAAATAGATCTAATTAGATCCAAATTAAATCTAAATAGATATAAAGTAGATCTAAATAAACATAAAGTAGATCTAAATAAATATAAGTAGATCTGTTAAATTTACACTTTTATATATATATATATATTATTAAATCTACTTTAGATCTACTCAGATCTACTATATTAAAACTACTCAGATTTACTTAGATTTAAGCAGATCTGAACAGATCTGAGAGGTGATCTAATATAATAGATCTCAGTAGATCAAAAGTAGATCTAATAATAAATAAAAGTGTGTAAATTTACATAGATTTACTTAATACTAGGGTAAAAGACCCAATTACCCAATTACCTGTCACCTGTCCAATTACTGTCACCCTAAGCTATTTTATTTATAAAATATTAAATAAATCCTAAAAAGTTATGCATGAAAACAATCTAACATAGAATTTTAAGTGCAATTAATATAATAAAAAATCCAGCACTCAACATTCTTGTCTCATTTCTTTCATTTTAGGGGGTGACAGTAATAGCTC